TGGTAGCAATTGGTCGGTACAATCAGCTGTCAACGGTATTTGGTCATTACATTTCTTTACGTGTCTTCAAAAACAGTTCCTACAAATCTCCTCCATGAGACACCCACGAGACAGTTCCCATTGGATTAACATTGTGTCTCATGAGACACCGTGTAGGTAAAATGTAGGATGAAAAACTGCGAAAGTGGTGGGCATGTTTCGAAAAACGGCGCACAAATTCTTGGGGCGCCTTAACAAAACTCCTGTTCGAAAATGGGTTCTGGTAAAGTTTCGTCAGCTGGTTTCCACAGCAACCGCCATTCGTGGGACAAGCTGACGCCATTTGCTAGCGCGTTGCGTGGTAACCAGCTATTGGTGTCAGTTGAATTTGAAAGAGAATTGTAACAGTGAACTTCAGTTGCTGTACTGTGCTGTGGATGTGTGTCTTGTGCAGTGTAAGCAAAGTGTATAAGGACTTTCACATTATATTTTGTGATGTGATGGTGTGGTTGGTAATAGAAGGTTGTGAGCTCCAAGTGGAGTTAAGGAATTGCCAAAGAACTGAAAACTCTGCATGGGCCGGAAATCTGCAGCCTGCACTTCTATAAACTCTTCATAAGAGGTTCGTGGCAGGGGGCATTTTGGGGAGCGATTATGGAGGTGCTGGTAGGTACCTAACCTAATTGGCTTGATGAGAACTGAAACTGAAAGTCAAATGAATTGTAAAATTGCTCTACCTATCCTATCTGATCACTTGTAGGTACTTATTTTTTTTTAATTTCCATTCATTTTGATTGATAAAGAACAACATTGAAAGATGCTAACATGCAGGTAACTACCTACCTAGCTCTAATGTAAATAGGTACCTAATAATTTCCTTCAAAAGAATATATAGCTTTTCAATGTGGAGATTTAGTAAATGAAGGCATTTCACTACATTTTGAACATTACCTAGGTATAACTTCCCTAAACTGCATGACAAATTTTCAATTTCCTTGTTGTAACACCAATACCACAAACATTCATCTGGGCACAAGGCTCACAACATCAAATTATTCATGTTTTATAGACAGGTACCTATACAGCAAAAATGCAGCAGATATGTGATTATTTTAAACATAGGCTTTGTGTTCAGTTGTGTATGTAATAATTTTGTGGGTGGAAAATGTGTCATGAATTGTCTACAGGTCTGTGTAGAATTGTAATTAATATAATTATAGAAAAAGGAATGGTCAGTGAAGTAATCAACATGTTTACTCAATAACAAGATATGCTGGCATGGAGTTTGCTCATGAGTTTGCCCGAAAACCTTTCAGTTATATAGTGTGGGAAGCATAGCAATTTGAAGCATTTGCTTATAAAACTGATTTGTAATGGGGTTTGTGAAGTTCTCCATAAATTTCACACCTAGCAATGTACCTACCTAATGCATTGCATTACTTTAAAAGAGGGTGACCATACAAGTTGTCAGGTAGGTAGGCTTTGACATTGATTTCAAGATTTCAAGGTGATCTGTGTTTTTTGCTTATAACTTGTCCTCGTTCTCTGACTAAAGGAGTGGCAATACAATCTGACTTGTTTTTTTTTTCCTCTTGCCTTGCCATTTTTGACATAATCCTTGCCCAGGCTATATGTTGGTATGATGAAGGTCAATCAGATGACATATTTCAAATATTACAGTCATGATTTCAGTTGAATTTGCCTAACTTTATTTCAACAATATAAGATTACACATTGCATAGCTATAACAGCAATATTTGAGCCACCACTGGCATAGAAATTAATAGGTTGCAAAACATTACTCAGCAAGAAGAAATCAGTCATTGACAGTGGAGAAAACACATCTAGACTTGACAACAAATTACAATTGATTATTCTTCTACCATTCATGTTGGCATAAGTAATAATTCAAATGGATACTTAGTGCATTTTTCTGAAAATTTTAAGCACATGAGATCCATCCAAAGGCACAGACTCGGAACAAGGGCTGTGTTATAAACAAGGATATTGCAACTTTTTGGTATTTTAACATGTTGTTATATTCTGACATCCTCAGAAAAATAATATGGTAATCTGCCCTGCTTCATTTGATACGTATCGATGAGTAATTGGATGTTGCGGGAATGCAGTTAGTTTTCCGGCAGTTGTCTCCAGCAGCGACAAAATGGCCGCTTACTTTCTGTCAAACATTTGCTTTCATATGGCTAACTACATTAATTTCACTTAGTCTAACTTTGTCTAGCAAATCTCCAGTTTTACTTCGGAAAAACCGGCAGCGTGTTCCACATTGGTGTCCCCGCCAGGCGAGGCAGTTCCGTCGGCCGTCGATGTCCTTCGGTCATATAACCCCCAATAAAACTAGCGCGTCGAACGATCGGCAGCATGAATGGTCTCACACCATCCATGGCAGGGACCGACCTCACAGAGCCACGCAGAAAACAGGAATATCGGATTTATCTGCCTCTAAACTGTAATGTATGAATGCGTCGTGAAAATTTTACAAGACAGCTGAGGTTTGCTAAGCAAGAAAAAATAGACCAGGATCTGTATTAGCGAAGAGATTAGCGATGCACGTGAAATGTGTATAGATTGCGGTGTAGATGTAGTCAGCGATGGATTATAAAAGGTTTAAAGCCGCTTCTTAAAGCCTACAGTCAAAACGTTTTCTGAACGTTTGTGGTCCTCAATATGATAGGTATTCCATAGCAATTTAATGGGCTTCGTCCCATTAGCAAATATTGCAAAATCGTCCTCAAATAATGTTTTCTTACCTAAATGAAGTAATGTTGATCCAGGAAAAACTTGTTACACACTCCTTAAAGTTTCATATTCCTAAACAGAAACACTGATGTGCACCGCACACTGCAGCGTTAGGTCACTTCACCTTCAGCCCGCCAAGTAGTAACTGCCCGACTAAACGGGAGAGGGACGCTATGGGACGGCAGATGGATGCCCGTCTGGTCCATGTGGAACTGAACCCTCATTGGATGAGAGGAATTAATTGAGCGTCCCGGCGGTTTTATGAGGGTAGTTCTTGACTTTCCAGTGTTTCCAGACACAGTCAACAACCAGACCGCCTCACTGTAGTCTATACACCACCAGTATGCATTTCAGGTGGAGGTGTATGTACCAAGTCCTGCCGCGCACTTTGCCCAAATCAGCGCATACCGTATGTCTGTCGGCTTCTTAAAAAATGACGATATATCTGCGGATAGCTTCAGAAATAAAAACACTTCAGGAATAGCGTTTACGTCCTGTAAATATTAATAACTGTAATGTAAATAACCAGCTTTACTTGAAAGTATAGATATGTTGGGATATACCTAAGGATGATCGGTGAGACAAACCGGAGCCATCGGAGACCGTGTAGGAGACAGTCTGGGCTATATGTGCACCTCTGGTATGAACTGCAAACCTGGTATAGCTTCAAATGAATACCTACCTAGACAATATTTCAGGGAAGTTGGGTGATTGCAGCACTTTAGATGACGTTCCAATACGCCATGTCGTTTTCTAATATGGAGCGTTTCTGGTGTCACTGAGCATGAAACGCAACGGTCAATGAACTTAGTAGCACCTGGACACATCTAAGTACACTTTCAACTAAATCCTGACCAGTGATCGGTCTTATATATTCGGTTCCATGTATCGGAGATATTGTGAGGAAACTAAGAAAATCCAATCTATAATTGGACTTCTGACGCCACTGTGACGTCATTTCAAATGAGATCGACATCGAATTTGGACACGACTTTGGATACCTATCTATTAGTGTTCAAGAACAGATCTGTAGCTTTTCGCTTCTCTATTTCTTCGTATTGCGACGATACAGTGTCTGTTCCACCTGCAAGGTTAATAAAATCAAAGAAATATGGTTGCGTCACAAATATACATATGCAGAATAACAACATGGGGCCTCATACCAACCCTAGGCGTCTCAGACGATAGAAGGTTCTCCCCTACTCATGTAATTATACATGGGCGTTCAATGTTCATGTATGTATTATGCATGAGTGCTTATGTACCCATGCATAACGAAGTATATCTATACGAGTAGGAGGCCACAGCTAACTCGGTACTCTCTGAACTGAACTGTGCTGAGCGTACTCGGATCAGAATACGTTCAACACAGTGGGTTAGGCATGGGGTCACCGCTGAGCCCCATTGGCGCGTGTCTGCATATGGAAGACTTAGAACAGTCACGATTCTTAAATATAATCGGCCCTGATTCAGAATGGATGCGGTATATAGATGATATGTTGATGGTGGCACCGCAAGACATGGACTTGGACGAAAAATTGAACCTCTTGAATGCTACCAAGTATAAACCCAAAGATACAGTTCACATTGGAGAAAGAACAGGACGCCCAGCTGGCATTTTTAGATACCTCCATCCTGAGGACGGACAGTAGCTTCAAATATAAAGTTTACAGAAAGCCTACCAATAAGGAAGACTATGTGCATTTTTATTTGGCTCATGCAGATAGGGTGAAAAGTGTGAAAGTCATCGGCTTTTTCCTTAGAGCGTTTACGATTTGCGATGATGACTATTTGCAAGAAGAAATTCAGCACATAACCGAAGGTTTGTTGTCAATAGTTAAAACACTATTCTTTAGAATTGTGCTTTTCTATTGAAAAAAAAATTTGAGTTCCCTGACAATTTGGCAAAAGCTGCCTGGCTGACAAATAAGGCAGGATCCTTCGAAAGCTACCAATTATATAAACGTTACTGGTGTGGAATAACTCTTTTTGCCATAAACAATGAAAAACTAAGTTTCACCCAAATTCGTTGACACTTGTCCCATTGCATGGACATTTGGGTGCCTGCTGCCACCAGTGACGTCATCATAGTATGTTCATTTTTAAGAAACAATTTCCTGCTACTTACCATGCACAATTTGAAATCGATTATTTTTTCGGTAAGAAATTCTTGGCCAGACACTGAAGTTGCCAAAACTCACGTGAGAGCTTCGATATTGAACTTTGAGCCAGCGTCCTTTTGAAAAAAAAAAACGAACTATACCATCGCCATCACCATGAGCCCCTCGACGTCCCTGCTGCTGCTGCTGCTGCTGGCCTCCTGCGTCCTGGGCATGCCCACCGACCACCTCGAGGCCTCCGGACTGGGTCCTGTCGAAGCTGAAGGAGATGAGACCGTCGTGGTGGAAGCCGGTGATGGCAACATGGCCACAGGAGATGCCGCCTTTGCCAGCAACTTTGGATCAAATGATAAAGGAGGCGTCAGTACGTCATTTAGCGTGACGGCTTCGGTGAGTATCTGTATTTACAAATTCCAAACATCGCTTTTAAGGATGATGCTTTGAGTTTGATTTTATCAATGCCGATTTACTAACGCTTTGATTCATTTGATGATTTTTGCAGTGCGTTGCTCGATAACTCAGAAACAAAATTCCTGCAGATTTCTTTAACAGTCAAGATTACTTTACTTATATTTAACAGTAACACAGTTCAATAATTTGAGCACTTGAGCGAGCTGGAGCGAGCTGTTTTCTTTTCATCTTGTCCGTTTGCTGTGTGTGACGCGCGTGCTGTCTTTCGCAGGGCTCCAGCGCCGGCAGCTCGTTCAGTGCCAACGCAGCTACATCCGGTGTCGTACAGACAGACGGACAGGTATTCGTTGTGGACGGCGTCAGTGCGGAGTCAGCACAGATTGCCAACCCGGCATCGTTTGTTTAGTGAGCTCGAAACTGCTCAGGCGAGCTCGTCTTTCTGGAACTTTTCCTGTGGACTGTTTGTCAGTGATGTCTCTTGAAATACATACACGTCGAAAGTGGTGTTTTGTGTGTGAACACTGGACAGTTGGGTATCTCATCCCAAGCGAGCTTTGGCGCCTGTTCTGTCAAAGTTACAGGATGCGCATAACGTTTATTAATTTTTTTGCGAGTTTCCGTTAATGAGTCACTTAATCAATTGATCAGTAGATTGTGATGTAAAGCAGAATCAATTCAATTGAGGTGTGAGTGATAAAAGTATCGTTTTATTAAAAATATGCATCGGTAAAACAGCAGCGTAACAGGCGAGAGGAAGGGAGAGAGAGAGAGAGAGAGAGAGAGAGAGAGAGAGAGAGAGAGAGAGAGAGAGAGAGAGAGAGAGAGAGAGAGAGAGAGAGAGAGAGAGAGAGAGAGAGAGAGAGAGAGAAGGAGAGAGAGAGGGAGGGAGAGAGAGTTCTCGGCTTCACTCAAAAAACTAGGAAGGACTGCGGTCTTGAAAATTTATTTACAGCGGCATCGTTTAGTTAAATGTAACACACCGGAGACTGCAGCCAAAACATACGACCATAACACACTGGAGACTGCAGCCAAACATACGACCATAACACACTGGAGACTGCAGCCGAGCATACAACAATAACACACTGGAGACTGCAGCCGAGCATACAACAATAACACACCTGAGACTGCAGCCGAGCATACAACAATAACACACTGGAGACTGCAGCAGAGCATACGACAATAACACACTAGAGACTGCAGCAGAGCAAACGACAATAACACACTGGAGACTGCAGTAGAGCATACAACAATAACACACTGGAGACTGCAGCCGAGCATACAACAATAGCACACTGGAGACTGCAGCCGAGCGGCGAGCATACAACAATAGCACTACTTAGGACTACTTAGACGAAACACACGATAATATGTAGATAGCATTTTTGGGACTGGCAGAAAGCGAATGAGCACGCATGGTCCTATAGTATATTTTGCGGTGTAAGTTCTAAATACAAAATAATCCATGAGTAGCATTTAGCACGTCCTGAAGACAAGTCACAGATGAGCAGTGACCAATATTTTATTTTATTATATTCTTCTGCTGACAGTAGCTAAGCTCATTCCGGAACGGTGCTCAACTACGGCGCCGCGGTGTATGTCGAGGACTTCGCTGCTCTGACATTACAGTTCTCGGGCCAATCAGGGATTGACATGTTCAAAGGGCCCCAACAGCAAACGTTCCCCTGGTCTGCTAAAGGGCTAAACCTGAGTCATATTGTCTGTTTATTTCATTACAAAAACGTCACGCTGGTCATGATTTGTATCGTATTTTTAAATGATTTTGGATGATAATTATTTAACTAACTAGTTGCTTTGCCCACATATCAGCATCTACCCTCATGGTGTTTCTGTAATTAGCGGTATCGGAGGCCACGCTCTGCAGTTGTTTCTCTCTTCTTCTCGCCGAAATATAAATGATGATGTTTTTGTCGTCTGCTTGTAACAATGAATAAATAGACGGTGATAAAGTGTTGTTGTTTGGCTGAGACTCAACTCAACTGCTGGAGAAACGTTCGAAAATAACGTTTGCACTAAACAATAGTCTTTGTAGCTATTGCAATGGTGAATTTTAATGAGTGTAAATTACTCAACAATGAAAATAAATCTTCTGTAAAAAAGGGACATAGGTACCATTGTTCAGATAAATGATAATGCTAGCATACACTACTGGACCTAAGATTTTTATACAAGCCGGCTTTGCATGGGGTCGAGGAAAACATCTCATGATACACATCACACCCTATATCATATGTATACCACATCTTTCTCACGCTCCATTGCACAATTCTGTCACCAATTTGACCATCTACACAGTGCTAATATTTCACCATTTATGTGGAACAAACGAGAGCACCGCCCTCTTACAAACGTTCCGTCTATGGCACACATCATAGCAGCACAGGTCACGATGGGATGGACACTGGGAGTCGTACGAGCAGGTCAGCAGTGCCGTGACCTCCGGGGTGACCTCCGGGGTCACGGGGTCACCGGACCGGCAGCCGCTGATCTGGGAGGGGCACTCCACTGAAACGGGAACAGGTAGAGGGACATTTACACATTACGGTGGGATTTATACAGATCGTCAGTACGTAAATAAAAAACACATAAAATATGTTTAGTTAGCTAACAATAAAGTAGCGCCAAATATCAGCGAAAGTTTGATTAGCTGACAAACATTTGAATGAAGCCACATTACTAACAACTTAGTTGCTTTTTATAATAATCCAGTCAAATCAACTTGTTGCCTGATGCCCATTTTTCAGCCTATTATTCGCTTTCAGCTCCATGTAACTTTCCCGGTAGGTTCTGGACTTACTGTGTGTGGCCCCTGCAGCACCGGGAAGACAGCAATAGTACCAGTGTTTGGGTGGGTAGAGCTGATAGTCCGAACGAGGGCAAAAGTACCTGAGATTGAGAAAGTATTAAGTTGTTTAGCATTGAAAGACTATAACGCTGAATTTGGTTCGCTGGGGATCTTATACGCAGTGAGTGAATTTGGTTCGCTGGGGATCTTATACGCAGTGAGTAATCTGGAAGAGGAAATTTATGGTACGGGAGCTACATAAATGGGCAAGCACAACTAAAGTGATATGAGCTTTCAAGGATTTATAATAGAATTGAAGTGCGTTACGAGGTGCTATTCTTCCAAGATAGATAACGAGGTGCAATGCTAAATTACTCGGCAATTGGGGCATTCCAGGACGATTCAACAGCTCATGGGTGCAAATTAACACCCGACCCCCTCAGATTTTCTTCAAAATTGCTGTATAGGGTTATTCTGTGCCCAGAAGCCGAATCTGAGATTGTTAGACCTGTAGGAGCAACGGTTTTTGAGTTATAACATTGGGAAATTTTGCAAAGTTAAAAAACATCATTGTATTTTAGTAGCTATATCTAATCGAAAACTTTTTTAAACTATAAAAATTATACATATTTGAACTCGCCACATCACAAGCTTTCAGATGGTATGCGAAATTTTTCAAAATTTTGAATTTTGAATTTTCAAAAAATTGTTCAAAAATTTCTTTCAAATTTTTCAAAGTGTGGCCAGTTAAATAAAATTTATTTTTTTGGCTTTTATTAATGCTTAGGGTATTGGGAAACTATATTGTGAAAATTGGAGATAGGTATTTTTTATAAATATTTTATTTTATTTTTTTACTTTCTCCATGTAAATATACCATTTTGCTTTGATATGGTGCCGACGGTGCTATCTCGGGAACGGATGATCGTAGCGCGCCGGACGAGGCGGCAATGGAAAGATCTCAACAAGATGGATCTAGACATTGTCCGAATGTCGTTCTTAAAGGTCACGGGTCAGGTCAAGGTCAGGTCACGAAAGGTCATGATGAATAAAAAGGGATTATGTGCATGCGACACATGTTTTATGGGTTATTTTCCAATTCAAAGTCAATGGTGATGGGCATTTGACGATTCGGGACAAAAACAGGTCAGTTCAGGTCAGGTCACGGTCAGGTCAACCAATCCCTTGTTCATCGAAGGAAATACAACACACATTTTGGTGACCAGCTCGTTGAAATGTATTGGGCACACATATCACCAACAATACAGAGCACAGACAGCCACCATACAGACACACGGCAGGGGTGCTTGCAAGTCTACGCGGGCTCACTTTCGTCTTTTCGGTGCCCTACTGCGGTGCACTTTCACCAGCCGGCCTGGTCCTCCTGACAACTTTGAGACTCGCAGTGTCTCGTGGTTGACCGGAATAAAGCAGTGCAGACTCTGCGTGCCTTTCACTGCCACCGCTTTGCTGAAACGCTCCTTGAGGTGTTCTGCAGCTTTTTCGACTCCGACCCTCGACACGAATACAAAGTTCACTGTAGTCTCGAATTTGTCACTTAAAAACTCAAACATTTCGGTCGCGTTTGTGATTTGCTCCCTTGTGGGCCTTCGTAGACTCTCGAGAGCGGTCGCTCTCTTCACGGTGCCTCCCACGCCGTCACATGCGCCCTTCCCGTTGCGAGGTGTCAAAAAATTGTCAGTCGCAGTCTAGCCCAAAGTCACTTTTGTGAGCGCAGATATTTGAAAAGTTGAAGCGGTTTTTGTACTGTGCTGCTGAGCCGTCTGAAAAGTATCTGATTTTAGTCAAAGACGGAATTGTTTCCTTCAGTCGTGGAATCAGAGCCTTTTGGAATGCTGGGTGGAATTAAATGAGGTACGGCATCAACATAATGTCATCAAACATCCCAGACTCTTAATAACGAAAACAGTATGGACACTTTTTCTTACTAGGTCGAAGTGGCATCTCTCCGAGAAGGTGAAGGACTTCGCTCGTTTCTTGCCTCGCGACTTCACTTTCGAGTGATGAGCTCCTTTGACAAGCAGGATCATTGTTGCTTGGAAGACTTGGTGACCTTTGCTGGCTGCTCGAAGGGATCGGCGATGGCCGTTCTCTTGGCGGTAGACATTTTGGATCTTTAAGCAGTCGTTTCCGGCAAGAAAACGCATAAAAATGCACCAGTTCCTACCCTGTCGTCATTCACTTCACTCACTAGTCTTGCGGATACTCTCTGAACTCCTTTCAGCACTCGATTCGGATGATGACAATCAAACGGATCCTGACAGTAATTTCTTGCTGCACGTGGTGACATTTCCAAGCACGAACGGTTCACACGCACTGTCGCATGCGGTGACTTTCGGAAGACTGGAGTCCCCATCCCGCAACTGGCCCGCGCAGCTGTGACCAGCGACCAACGTCACCCTATGCGTTTATGGCACCCGATGATTTTATTGTGCTGTTTTGACTGCATGGACCGGCGCGTCGTCTGTCACCGCGCCACGGCTCATTCGAGCGAGCCGAGCTCGCAGAGACTGGTCTGTCACAGGCGCAGATGATATAGCGATAGGTTTCGGGATGGGCCAAATGGAAATTTGGAAACGGAGACAAATGTAAAAATTATTCATTTCATTTCACTCATTACTCTAGTATAGCCATATATCATACAATTTTATTAGGTAGGTATTTTAATGCCGACATAG